AGCTAGCCATTTAGCCTAAATGGCTAGCTTAAGCTTTTAAAGCGTAATGTACCTTAAATAGCTGTAACTGACTTAAGCTATTTAGGCTTAAGTTAGTTTGCTTAAACAGCTAACTAAATTGGTAGCTTAAGCTACCATGGAAAATTTGACAGCTTGCAGTAAGAGTTAGCGTGTCTGTTGGTATAATGGACATCGTTAGCATGCTAGCTAAGGAAGCAGCTACTACTGACTTCAAATGTTACTGGGAAAACATCAGAAATGCCATTAGAGTGCTACAGAAAACGATTTCTTTAGCACTCCAAGAAAATCTTCTGGTGTAAGATTTAGCTGTAGATTTTCCGCTAGTATGTTCATCCGTTGCATTCAGTTCTTCTAACTGTATTTGCAGAAGACTAGCTGCACACCTCTGCCCCCGTAGGTCAGCTCAAGAAATTACATGCCGTTCAAATTTCAGTGCAATCTGTTTTTCATTCGTCAGTTACGTTTTTAATTATTTTTAATTTGTTGGTTACAATGCCAAACCCATTAACCAACAAATTTGACCCTCTTCTTTTACATACAAGAATTAGAATCCAAGTGTTTTATAAGTTGCTTGTATGTGGCGAAATAGTAAGAGGGACAATAAAAAGAAAACAGCTGCATTTCTGAAGTTGGATTTCTCTAGATTTAGATGTAAATTACCTTTTACACTTTTTTTCAGTTTTCTCTTCAGTTACCCAGGCGACATTGCAGAAATAATGGAGCTTGGATGTGCCTACTTTAGCTATTTAATCATAAGGTTTTAAAATCACTCCTCAAGCACTTGTTTTAAAGGGTAGAGACAAAAAGACAACACTACTTCCTCTCCATGCCTCTGCTGCTCTTTAATGCACTGAAGAAGGTTCTGGAAAACGTTGCTTTGTTATAAGTTTGTGGATTTCAGGCAGTACAGTTGGTCTTAAAATGAAGAATTCAGGCAGAAGCTGTGGACTTTTCCACACACCCAGTGAAAGTGAGGTTTTCATGCTTTCTGAAAGCTTCACCAATAAGCACAAAGACGTGACTGGGAAATTAAAAAAATAAAAAATAAAATTGCAGATTGAGTTGATTGTGGATCTTTTATGGGTTGTCAAACCTAATTTCAAACAAGACCTTTTTTGTTTTAAGCATTATTGTAATTATTATTATGAATGTTAACTTTTACTTTGAATGTTTTTTATACTTTTCTTTGTCCTACCAATTTTGTGTAGGCAGCTCTGGAGAGAGGAGGAGCAGTTACTTTTGAAAGTTTGTAACGAGAGATGTTGATGTGTACATAAATACAGATATTATTATAATTGGGTTTTAAATAAATGCTTGCTTAAAATAATTAACAGGCCTGAGAAGAGAGGATCATTGTCGAGGGAAGACCTCAACTTCTCTGGGAAGTTGTCCAAAAGTTCTCCTGTTCTGAAATGTGTTGGAAGGAAAAATCTGCTCTGAATTACATAAAGAATTTTGAGGGGAAAAAAAAGCAGAATCTTAATGTGTGTTTTTTAATATATATATATATATATATATATATATATATATATATATATATATATATATATATATATATATATATATTTTTTTTTTTTTTTTTTTCCGGGGCTTCCCCCCGGGGTTATAAAGGGGGGGGGGCCCCCGCGTTTTGTATT